TATGGGAGTGCCGTTTGTTACGTAATTTTATTAAGAGAAGAAGGAAGGTTAGGAGTAGAGATTTTAGGCGACTGTCTGTTTGTATATTTATTATAATTACAGTTTTATTATGTAGGAAGAAGGAATTTGGTCTTCTAATAAAAATAAATTACGTAATAAACGGCACTTCCCTATTAAAGGTAATGAAAAGAATTTTAGTATTCATTGAATAACTTATTAAGAAACTATAAACTACGAAAGAAGAACGAAGAAAGAACGATGAAGACCTAACATCGAAAGCCAGTAAGAAATCGATGTTAAAGGTATCTAAATTATCCAGCTACCTACAACTTCGTTTTAAATGCTTCAGCTGCCGAAAGAGTTAGTTGATCGAATTCTTCAGCAATATCTGCCGAGAGAGTTAGTAGATCGAATTCTTCAGCATTATCAAAAATCCGAGAAGTCCCTTGAGATTCATTTGAGAGCGTAAAGCTTCTTGCTACACTAACGTTTGATGCACTAACATGATTATTGGGTGTTGAGTTGCCAGTGGTTATTGAAGTGGACTGTGATGAGTTATCAAGACCAATTTCATCCATTATTATTGTGGAAAAGATAGACTGGATAATCATTAATCGGAGTCGTTATCCTATAAGATAACATTCTCGTGAGTGGTAGTCACATGATTGGCTGGATAATCCAAGGAGAATTCGCATTACATAAAATTAGAGCTATAGGGCGATTACACATGATCCAAATAGGGCATGCCTCAACCCGAATCACAGCTAACTTGATTTATGAGGGTTTGTCATTTCGGGTGATTTTAATTTACTACGTATCATTTTTTTTTTTTTTTATTACAATTTGGGGAGGTGGAGAGTCTATTATAGTATGCTTGTGGTTCAATTAATATACACATATATATTTGTTTATAAACAAATAATATAATAAATATATACGTAGACAGTCGCCTAAAATCTCTACTCCTAACCTTCCTTCTTCTCTTAATAAAATAAGTAATTTGTCCAAAATTCGGCAGCCGCTGACTTGGCCTGAAGCGCTGTAGTCCATCTAACCCATTCTA